TTAAAGTTTTTAAATTTAAAATTTGGATAAAAAAATTTTTTTTTTTTTTTTTTTTTTTTTTAATTTTTATTTTTGTTTGTTTGTTGTTTTATTTACAAAATTTATTTTGGGTGAAGCTAAAACTATGCCACTTGAGGAGTTCTAAATAGAAAATATAATTTTTGTACAGTTTTGGCTTTTTTGCTCTTCTGAATATAATGTTCTTCTTTTAGTAAATGGCCTTTTTTGAGTCTTCATACTCTATTAATCAATTGGTAAAGTAGCTGACTATTATTTCAATAATCGATTCATCATTTCAGCCCTGCAGTAGATATGCGAGTTTTTCCTTGGACTGAATGCGTGTGTGTGTGTATTTTTTTTTTTTTTTTTTTTTTTTTTTTTTTTACTACATTTCAATTATTTTACACAAAGCACATGTTTCACGGTTCTTGCTCAGATGATGTTGCTTAGCGAGTAACACAATAGATCAATTGATTTTTGTGCCTTCTCCTGACATCCATTAAAAGCTTGTAACAGGAAATTGTCCACATGTGACTCTAGAGTCACTGTCTTTATGATCCAAAGTCATGATTTGTATTTTTCCCCTTAACTTTTATTACTTTTATAACTCTGGGAGGTGTTTACTACACTTACTACACCAACGCACTTCACATTTATTGGCTGGTGTTAAAAAACCTTAAACGACCCTGTCATTACAGTAGCATCATGTCACGTGGAAAAATCTCACAGAAGTTGACTGGAGTTACCCATCTGTCCTTCATTGTCTCCCACTTATCTGAGATCAGGGAAAACAAGTCCAGAAGGAAAACCCAGACGTCACATAAACTTGCCCTTATCTACAGTCAAAACAGTAGATGTATGTTTAAATCTACTGGAACTGCAACAAACAAGTGTGGTGTAATAAGTCTAAGTTAAGGCCAACACCCATGAGCATGACGGTAAAGAAAGTTTAATAAAGCTCACTGTTGGAGAACTACTGCATAGTCATGACATCTTGGGTCTCCAGGGAACCTTAGTAACCAAATTTAGACTTTTTTCCCCTTATATCTGCTGTAAGTTCTTGAAGCTCAGATTGTAGTGAAAACCTGCTGATTAAAAGTTTTACTTGGGGTTCGGGGACTAAATAATCCTACAGAGAAACTTTATTCTTCCAATTCTGTCAATTAAAAGTTAAACAACATTTAAGTTTGGTTATCATAGTGGAAGAAATAATCTTTTCTTTTTTCAGTTTGTTAAAAATGCATATTACTGAAGAAATCAATAGATTTTTTTTTATTATTATTATTAAAAATGTTCCAATGAAGTACTTGTTGCTTCTACTGATTGACACCTCTGACTTTCTTTCTTAAAGTGTGTAAATGTTATTTAGATTATGAGGTGATGTTTGGCTCTCCAGAGTAGAGCGTTGGTTTCCTTCTTCTGTTCCATGTAGTTGTTGTTTAAGTTGTGGAGATTTGTTTGCTCCAACTCTGCCTTCCCTTGCATTTTGTCGACGTCACGTGTTTTTTAGTTAAATTGTTTGTTGCTCCTCCGGAGCCTCGGTATCTCACTTGAGTTATGGATAATCATTAAGCTGCCGTATGTTGTGTCTGAAGGCCGGTGTAAATCTGAGCAGCTGGTGTTATAGATGCTCTTTCTAACGGTGAAGCAGCGCGTCGCTGTGGTCTTCGATCACGTTTCCTCTTTTGGCCTTCGGCGGCACATTTCCTGATAATATTGCATGTTGTGGAAACAGGAACCTGAGGTTCTCAGGGGGATACACGTGTAGCCTTGAGCCTCAACTCTTAGTTACGCTTTTACGTGTGACCTTCTAGGGCACTCTGACTTTTGTTTCTCCACCGATCGACCGGGCAAGTAATTTGGCTGGAGGCTTCATGTTGAAAATGTCTAAATATTTTGCATTGCAGCATTAAAAATGGACGATAAAGATGAAGCTAATGAACTAATCAAGATGTTTGCTCTTTACATGTTCTCAGCCTTGTTCGCTGCTCTTCCTGTCCTCAGGCTGCAGATTGTTTCAGCTCCGCATCGCAGCAGCTCCACTCCATCACTGTCGCCCCGCGCCGAATTTAAGAGCTCGCTGTACGTGCCTTTTTGCTGAAAGGGACTTCCTGTTTTTGTTTAGCCTCTTTTTATTTTTTATGTTTGACAGAATTCCTATGCAAGGAATGTCCCCGCATCCACATCCACTTCGACCGCGTGGACATCAAGGGAATCCCATTAGAGCCCGAGCTTTTCCGCAGGTGGATGCACAACCGTTTCGAAATGAAGGACAGGTGAGTGTGTGTTGATGTGCAGATCAGTCCTCGTGAAGTATGAGTGATTTATTTATTTTTATTTTATTTTTTGAAGAACCAAACTTTAACTGTATGTGGAAGAGAATTGCTACTTTATTTTAAAAATCTAACTTTAGATCTTTCAAATTCTTCACTTTATAATTAGGTTTTACAGAAATATGTAGCGCTTTTGCCAAACATTTTGTCATTTTACAACAAATCCCCATGTTGTCACCTTCCTAAGATAATGGCCTAAGTCTTTTCAAACAAAAAAAAAATCCACCACTTTCTATTGCTAAAATATAATTTAGACATAAAAAAAAAATCACTTTTGACAAAAAATGATTTGGGTATTTTATAGGGATGGGATATTTTATGTATTGGAACAACACAAAATATGCCATAGTTGTAGTGACGAAACATTGCATATGCAAATAATAATCTGAATAGTATGTTGACCTTAACCTTGCTATTCTATTAATTCAATACATTGTAGAAACAATGTAGACATTGTAGAAAAGCAAACAATTCAGCCAGATTAGGTAGACACAGTCTGTGAACATCAACTTTCTAACAGATTATCAATCATATTTAGGTCTGGACTTTAACTAGGCCACTCTAATACATGACTATGCATTGCAGCTCAGATCTTCGGGACAACTTCCAGTCATTCTGGAAATCAAATCTCAATTCAAGTCTCTTGGATCATGACTGAACTGAAACGCTGTTAAGCTCCTGCTAAATTAAAAGGGAGCATTACCTTTAAAAGCTGATTTCTTATGTCACAAATGGAACCATTACTCTTTTTTTCCCTTACTTGAAACATTTAAATTTTTGTATTAATAAAATAAACTTCCTTTTATAATATTTTTTGAATTAAGCTGAAGATATGTTATTAAAGCTTCCCATGTTGTTGAAAAGAATGGAGTTTATTTCCTAAAAGAAGCAAAGTCAGTCATTTCATTGGATTAAAATAATTGATTTCATTGCCAGCTCAGCAACAAAAAAGCCTGACCTGTGTTTGTGCTGTAACTGCTGGTTCTGCCCAGTTCCTTTCACTTTGCACTTTATTTTCATTCCCTCTTGCTCTTCTCCGACAGCATGAACCCCCCGCCCCCAAGAGACCCTTACGTCTTTCTTTTTCTCTTCTTTCCTGAAAGGATGTTGACAGATTTCTACGAGTCAGAGGATCCGGATAAAAAGGGCAGATTCCCCGGCGAGGGCAGAATCTCTCCGCTGAACCTCTCCAAGTCCCTTCCCTCTGCGCTAATTTTGGGAGGGCTAACACTGCCAATGCTGCTGACGGAGAACGGCAGAAAACTTTACGTGAGAACCTGGGTTTACGGGACGCTGCTGGGCTGGCTCTGGGTGAACATTTCTCCCTAAAAGCTGCAGGGGAGACGACTGCCATGGTGAGACACGGGGAAGACGCGGAGCGAGGTGCTCCTTTTCTTGTATCGCAGAAACGCTCAGTGTGTTTCAGATGCAGAGCCGCACCTTGATGAGATCCAAGAGTGTTCGACTGTCCAGCTGTTGACCGGAGACACTGATAGATACTTGAACCTTTATGTAAAAGAAATATATATATATATAAAACAGATTTATTGCAACATCATACATTTCTCAAAATTTTAATAAAAAAAATATTCTAACATTATTAGATTTTGCCAAATTAGCATTCTTGCATGCAGTTTGTCCATCAATCTTTGGCAATATATACAGATCATGTTATTTTTTAAAAGCCAAGTGAGCTAGTTACCTAAACAACAAAAACAAGTCATAACTTAAGTGCACTGACTAATCAGTACCAGTTGTAATACGTTTAAGCCAAGTCCCATATCTGGAGGAATATGCACTTTTATCACACAAAGTGATGTTTTTACACTGGCAGAACAAAACGGCACACAGCTCCCCCCCGCGCGGGTCCATGAACACGACACCAGCTGCGTTGTTTACCGTACTTAAATACTCACGCTGACGTCCTTTTTTTAAATGTTTCCTCGTGACTGCGAATGTAGCGCTAGATTCACATTTATTCGTGCAAATGTGAAGAAGCTGAGAATGCAATCTGCTGGATTGTTTCCGAGCACAGTTCTTTGTCACGGAGCTCGCATGGAGGAATGTGCGCGGACGATGCAAAATGTGTTCTACCAGTGTAAAATGTTACTCAAACCTTTAAAGTGTCAGTCGTTGCCAAAAGCTGGTGTTTGCCATAACGTCGAATGGAGAGTGTCTCTCTGTGTTTTGTGTGATTTGTTTTTAGCTCAGATTTACAGCTTTAGATTTGCTTCTGTCTTCTTTTCTTTAATTTCAGTATCCAGTTTCATTACATTTATTACACCACCTTACAGTTCTTGTGAAAGTATTTACCTAACAAAATGCTGACAAAGCCATGATACCAGTATATATTGCAGGTGCACTCAAAGCCATTTGTATTATCACATCATTGTATTAAGAAATGCACTTTGTCCATTGTTGTTTACTATAAGAGAAAACCATTGCATTTTCCACTTGTCACTTTATCTGTAAGCAGTCTTGTCCTCCTCTACTGTTAATCTTTTGTTTTCTTCATCTTAGTACAGCAATCGCATCGTTTTTACATGTCGCTCTGATACCTCACTTGAATAATCCTTCCTTAAAAAAAAAATAAATCCTTGTCAGCCATTTTATACTCATTTTTATCCTGACAAGAGCGGACTTGTAACATCGTCAGGAAACTCTGTAGACGGTATTTAAATGCCATCAGATTTTTGGAAACGTGTGCCTTCTCTTTGGTGGGGCCACAGTGGCTCCTCTCCACCAGGTGACTGCACCAGGCCGCTTTGCTGGACTCGACTCTTACAGCAGCTTGTGGTCATGTTGTCTACAGCTCATAGTGGCTTTTTTTGCTCTAAAAATGCTTTGATTTATACTTTTTTGAAGACTATTATTAAACAATGAAACCTTTAATGTGGTTTGAGGTGTGGAACCTTGGGATCAGACGGAAATAAAGATTTTTTTGTTTTCTGGGGAATTAAATTCTATGTGTTACCTTTCTTTTTTTTTAGATAATTTACTGGCAAAATTTTAGGTTATTGTGATATAAAACAAGAAGCCCATGATAAATCATATCAAATCTATTTCCACCATGAATGTTATTCCTTATGATTCGATATCAGCATTCAAAAGATAAAAAAAAAGATGGTACTAGGTCAGAAGGACTGACAAAAAGATGATCACAACACCAATTATTTTAAGTAAGGTAAGGTAATTTTATTTATATAGCACATTTTCAGCAACAAGGCAATTCAAAGTGCTTTACATGAGTTAAAAGGAAATACAAACAAAATAAATCAAAGGTAAGAAAAAAGAGGAAAGAAAACTAATCTAATGTAAAGACCTATGTTTTTGCATAGGAGAATTCATTCAAGGCAAATAAGTTTTGATTGAAAACCATAAGATATCCAGTAGGAAAATGTAATTCTTTTATTTAGTAACAGGTCCAAACATAAATCAAAATCTGAACAAGAATTTAATATTAACATTTTGTACTGAAGTTAGCTCGCTACAGTAAGCGTCTGTAGATCAGAGATGTTTTAAATTGGTGCTGGTTCGGGTAGCAAATAAACTAATTAGTCACATTTCCAATTTTGATGAAGGTCAGCGAACACAACATTAACCAAATCTGCCATGCGCAGTCTGGTAGGTGAGCAGCAACGGCAGGAAGTGTAGGACCACAAATTGAAATCTGTCAGTGCTGATCTTTGATTTGGACGACGGGTAAGAAAGAGTTTCTCAGCCATCTGGGAGCTATTTATTTGCCGTAAGACAAGAATATGTGTCTAAAGAAGTCGCCTTATTAATAGCCTATTTCTTCGTCTTAGCCTCGGTTGTTCTGCAGTAGTTTGCGTATATCACTGAAAGACAAACAGCGACATCTAGCTGTTAATCCTGTGTACTACGTAGATTAGAGATTCCAAATGCTAAGGAAGTTCAACTGATACTCAATGTTCAGAGTTAGCTAAGCCTGTTGCCGGACTGTGTGTGTGTGTGTGTGTGTGTGTGTGTGTGAATTTAATTATTGATTGTTCTACTCCTTTCCTCATGCAAACAATTTAAAAAGTCAACGTTGTGTTTGCAGCTCCGCACTGGCAATGGACTGGATTGGTTTCGGCTATGCTGCAGCCACCATTTTTGGTGGATTTATGGGATATAAGAGAAAAGGTTTAACGTACTAATTTCAATTGTACTAATTTTCAATTAATTTACAATAACTTTTTGAAGACTTGAGATGAATTAATAAGTTACAACACTTAATCTCCTTTTGGGATCAATAAAGTATTTTTGAATTTGAATTTTCATAGGACTCTTTCTCAAAGTTATGTATTTTCTTATCCTCGCTGTCTTTAAATGATTGCAGGTAGTGTGATGTCCCTGATTGCTGGTTTAGTTTTTGGTGGATTATCTGCGTATGGAGCCTATAACGTCTCCAATGACCCAAAAGATATCCTGGTGCTGTTGGGTTAGTATACCTTATATTTCTAATGGCCCTGGTAATGTTAATTGGACCTTATCTTGGCTAAAAAGAAAATCAAGAAAGCCTAATCCACACATGCAAAGAAGTCAGTAAGTTTATTGATTTAAATTGCGTAATGAAGTGAACTGACACAGTTAATGGTTAATGAAAATATGAAGAAGAGAAGCTGCAAAAATGCATTGAAAGCAAAAAAAAACTTGTCGAATCTGTCAAAGCAGTTTTCCCTCCAATCAGCGCTAGTCAATATAAGACAGTTTAGACCTAATTTATGGCCCATTAAAGGACTGCTAATCACCAAAGCCTCACAGAAGAAACATGTTGGGGAAACGACCAAGAGCCCTCTCAAGACCTTTGCAACCTTGTTGCATAATATATTGATGGCTCTGTTTACAGACATTTAGGGCCTGTAAAATCTACAGTGCCTGTTAAAATTATAGCCTTATGACATAAACCTGAGAATATGATAAATAATTAACCTTTTCCCAATTTATGTTCCAAATATCCAATGAAATTGAACTGAAAATTGAAAGTTGAAAGAAAATTTAAAGGGGAAAAACTATACTAATCTGATTTCTCCCTAATAGAAAAATGTTTTTCAACCAAACTGTACAGCATTTACAGTATGTCACTTAGAAAATGTTTTGAAATTAAGTAAAAGTAATTTTTAAAAAAAACATTCTAATAACCTATAACAATAATCATTTTATCAGGGCTGTGTGTGTCTGCTGAGAGCCACCAACTGCTTCATGAAAGATTTATGACATTCAATGAAAATAATCAAAAGATTTGTTCAAGGGACAGTGAACAGTTTGAATGGAAAGATGAGTCAAAATCATACCTGAGTAAATTCATGTGGCTAGTTTCTCCACAAAGGCGACACATAGATACTGCCATTTCTACAAAACCCCCCGAATACATTTCAGCAAAATGTGTTTAATATTTATGTGTGGAACTTGTAAAGATTTGGTCAGAATTCCATGAGGATGAGTTCCTCTTTAGGAATACATTTACTGACAAAAGTAATGTGTTAAGTACGTGTTTTTCCTGCTTCGACTCCGGGGCTTTCTTTCATTTCACAAACTTGATCTCGGTCTGTGTTTCAGCCTCCTCTGGGTTGCTGGCAGTCATCATGGGAATGAGATACAAGAAATCAGGGAAATTAATGCCGGCGGGGATTATGTCGGGGCTAAGGTCAGTCAGAATTGCTTATCTTGCAGAAAAGCTGATTTTGCAATGAACTGTTGAAACAAATCTGCTGATTGCCTGTTTTGTTCTCTCTTTTTCAGCTTGCTGATGGTGTTTCGCCTGTTGCTGCTGACCATAATGTAACCGACCAAACTGTATTGACCAGACTCAGACGACTCTTGACTTTCCACAAGCAAGTCTTCACAAAAGGAAGCTATTCCACCAAGTCTGTATTTTTATGAGAGTTTTTAAAAGGAATTTATTCATGACCTGTATGTGAGGCCGTGTGATTGTAAGCACAATTATGCTAATGAACTCTAATTTACTTATTGTTGTGGCAAATACTTCTAAACACTGCATTTGTTTTTTTTTGTTGTATTTCATACCCGTTAATAAAATAAAAATAAAGATCAGAAATGTTAAATAATTGAAACTGTAACTTTTAATTCTAACATGTCTGCAATTGTGAAACGGTAAATAAGGATCTATGTCTAAAATATTTGTAGAATCAAAAACTGAAGAAATTTGACTTGTACAGTGCATATTTTTTATATATAATTTTCTAAAAGCCTGTGTTTAAAAACAAAAACACAACAGCCTCTGAGATGTTATCTCAAAACTTCTCCATTTATTTAGTTTTACACCTTCTTGAAAAGGTTCCACCAATCAACTCCTGTTAATAAGATTAGTTTTTCAGTTCGGTGTTATCAACACAACTACACCAGAGATGTTCACATGATTAGGTTTATTAGTGCTTTCTTGATTAATGAACCAGATTTTGTTAGAAGAGATTATTATGGAAAGGGTCCTGTGATGTTGAACACTTCCTTGACTGTCTTGACATAATCTTCATCTGGCTGCGGCTTCCTCTTGCTGCCCGGCTGCAGAAACCTGCTGATGGCTGGGATTCGAATCATTCTGCCCTGGAAGGACTGGACAGAAAAATGCAAAAGAAAAAAAAAAAACTTTTAAATTCAACACAGTTTAAGTAGTGAGGGCTTATAACTGTGGAGGAAAACAGGAAAGAAATGTTTGAGGCATTGTACTTTGCAGAAGAGTTCACATCGCTTGAACTTTTGCACATTTTGTAACATTCCAACCAGAAACAATGTGTTTTATGAGATAAAATGGTGAATTGCTGTGATGCGAGAGGAACGGTTTCCAAACACAAATCTGAAAATTGCGTCTGCAAATGGAAAGAGATTGGCTCAACTCATCAGCTTTTTGGCCTACATGTCAATTCCTACATACAGATGAAGACTAACTATTAAACAAGCCATTAAGCATATAATTTCAATATTTAAATGACACTGGAAATTTGTGTCAACTCCTAAAAAATGTCTCCAACCAATCTGACTGAACTCGAACTATTGAATGGGAAAAACGGGTCAGAATTTACATAAATAAAGATGGTGAGAGACATAGCCAGAAATACTTGTGGCTATGATAGCGGCAAAAGAATGTTTCTACACATTACTGACTTAATAATGAAAAAAGGTAGTAAAGGAAGTATGAACACTTTTGCAAGACTTTGTAGGTCCAGACTTACCTTGATGTTGGGAAATTCCTTGAGGATATCAGGAAATTTCTCCTCCAGCATCAAAGTACATTCAACCAGGAGCACATCTGCAAGGCTTAGTTTTCCTCCCACCAGGTACACGGGTCCAGTAAGTGCCTGAAAAGTTATTGACTTAATTACCCTAATTATGAATGATTAACATTTGTAAGAAGTGAGTTATTACAGCATACCTTTTCAAATACTGGCAGGTAGCGCTCTTTTGCTTTGCTCTGGATATTGTCAAGTTTGGGTTTGGTGTCTGTGACGAAGGGGAGGACCATGATCATTTCCATGTGATCGATCAGTCCCTCTGCATACATGTTGATCCTAATGGGGAAGTTTAAATGTGTCGAAAGATTAAAACATGACAAAATAAACAGATTTAGATTAGCATGTGGTAGAGCTGGATCATACATGGCACGTTCTTTGATGTCTTTTCCGTAGAGATTGTATTTCTCTGCGATGTAGTGCAGGATTGCTTTTGTCTGCACAAGTTTAAGGCCATCAATCTCCACCAGAGGAACCTGTTGAAACATGAGTGACCCCTCTGCAGAGAAAACAAAGCACCAGGTCACCACTCCCAGCAATAAAAAAACATAAAAAGACATACAATGTTCTCAGCCCTTCTTTTTTTTTTCTTTTCAACACAGTGTTTCCGCATACAATGCAACACATGCGGGTGAAAGATGAACAGTTAAGATAAAAAATATATAAATTTTGCGCAGGTCATATAGAGTCCATCATTATTGTTTAACCCACCATTCAGGAGTTTTAAGTACTGCTCTCTGTCGGTCAGATAATACTCGTCAAACTGTAAACACAAAGCAGTATAATGAGACATTTCATGACAGTATCAAATACACCTTAGATGACTTTATATAACTGCCTTAACAAACCTCCGCTTCTGCAACTGTAAGAAGCCAGCGGATTGACTCCATTTTCCCCCTTCCATTGAAATAGTGCAGAATAACTTTTCCAGACATGACAGCGGAGTTTTGAATCTAGAAGTAAGTGAACGTAGAACAAAAATAAAAGACAGAAGTGCAAAAACTTCTTTTTGACGAAAAAAAGCTGGACAGAGCACAGTTCAAAGCTGCGAACTGGGAAGAAGAAACTAGTTTGGTTCAAAATATAAAGACGCAACAAAAAAAATGGAGGCGTGTACAACTCCTAAAGCCTGTGATTGGTAGAAGTGATCCAATAGCAACATGGTAAATTTACACATTATCGCAAAGCATCATGGATAAATGTCTAGTTGCCTTCTTTTAGTCATTATTTACACATAAAGAAATATAAGGATCATGTCTAGTATGATTATTTACGTGACGTTACGTAAATTACAGTTAATACAACTACAATTTCCAGTTAAGTACCGTTATTTATTTAGTAGTTTTTCCTCCGTCTATATACAGGTTTCGGTGCTACGTCTCTTCTTGGATGTGAGGGCGATCTGGCTGCGACATCTGTCACCCCATTGATCGCTAGGGTTGATTCGGCTGATCTGGCTGGCTAGGCGGGTGTCCCCTTCCTCCCTCACTGCTCCGTATGTGTCCCTCCCGAAGCTCTGCGCTCGGTGGCAGCGGACGACGTCCCCCCGCGGCGGACAACCATCCTTCGGTGTACCAGTAGCTGCGCTCCCCTGCTAGAACCTCCAAACAAGCTCAAGGCCAAAAGGAGAAACGTAGGGAAGTCAAGCTCCAAGCTTCAGACACATCCAAATGCGGCGCTGCACGTGGCAGTTTGCCTTACCTTTTAATGTAGTTTTGTATGTTGTATTCAGTGACGCAGCACCCTTACAGACCCAGATTAACTCCTAATCCAGCAGCCTGGGCTCATCCATTAAAAAAAATGAAACACTTCTAAAGTGCTATGATCAAGTGTGAAAATGGGGACACACAAAATGTTGTTTATACTTAATAACTTGAGACTTAAAGTTTGGGTTCAACATCATTTTACTGAAACAGATTTATGCAACATGGCAATTTATCAACACTAAAATTACAACATCCTTTTACTGAAAACATGAACACAAAACAATAGTTGACTGGCAAGGCAACTGTCATTGAACAAAATGCAAAAAGTAAAAAAACAACAATTAATTAGCCCAAAAGAAATCACAGTGAAGGTTTCATACCATTGTAATATGCATATTATATGTTTACATGTCAGCATTCAGGGAAGCAAAACTGAGGCATAACCTTTGCAGCACAACAGCAGCTATAATACAGACAGTAAGACAGAGGTTGCACTCACATTTTTGGCTCTTTGCATTTCGTCATACTTTAAATAGTTTACAACTCAAAAGCATTCACTGTACACCTATGAAACAAAAATTATTGCTGTGTAAAGTTTATATTTACACGCTTGGGTTATAAAACAACTAGGCCTACTCTTTGGAAGCGAAAGAGTTATTGAAGCTCATTTTTGAGCTCCACGGAGGCCACTAGCGGTGTCCGTATTTGGCAGACCAGTCTGTTCGGCCGTGAATGCTTTGTAGCGGCGGGCGAGGATGCAGACTGGACGTGCTTTTGTTGGCTGTGGGCGCGTTGGTGGAGGGGTTCATCTGACTCCGACCAGACCGCCATGTTGCATAATCTATAACGACAGAAAATAAGAAAGATTCATATCAAGTAGATGCATGCTTTCAGCTTTCACCAGGTTGCTCCATCACCTTAAATTTTGGTAATACACATGAGAGTTTCTAGCTGTAATGTAACAAACAGATATTAGAGAGAGAAAGCTCACTTGACGCTGTTGCTTCCACTGATGTACCCTGCCTTCCTCTGTGGCCAGCAGAGCCACCGTCTTTTTTGTAAAATGATGGGATGTATCCACCAGGGATTGTATTTGTACCTGAAGATGAAAGACAAGAAGACACAAATTTATTTGCAAGCAGTTCGAGGCAACAAACTGGCAAAAGTTGCGAAAGAAAAAGGGGGGGTGATCACCATGCGCTCCTCTGCTCGGCAGCGTTCCTCCAAAAGGTATACTACTGCCGCCCCAAAAATGGCTTCCAGTGAAGTCCTTACTGGCATCTATGGCCACGTTCTTCTTTGTACTTATGCCTGAGGGAAAAACGGTTATGGATCACTGCAAACACATAAATTTTGTGATGAACATGAGCAGGCAGGCAGTGAGTTTTATCCACCAAAAACGCTGCTCACACCCCCCATCCTTTAATCTCTGCAGCTCCAGCTAGTTCTCTAGAACAGAGCATGCCATGCTGCATGAATGCTAAGGCTAGTTAGCACGACCACAGATGATGGCGCATAAACAGTGTTTCTGTAATACTATGTTGTTTCTCCACCATTAGCACATTGAGCAGTGCACACACAAAGATGCTTGTCAGCCAGCGCTAGCACCTTCCTCCTGGCTCTAATTGGTTGTTTTTGAATAATAACTTTATTCGCTAATTACTTACCAGCTCTGGTAGTGCGTATCTGCATCTACAGGCTACTTAACTTTATTGCCTTCAACCTGAGTGAACATCATACCAGGTGTTGTTAGCATCTGAAATCCTCAATTTTATGCTGAGCCTTGTTGAATTGACAAAACCCGATAGGTTAGAACACTGTTTCAACTTTACTTCACCAAGAAAACTATTACGCTCTTTAGGGAAGAGATGTTTTATCCATCTCAGGGCTGATTACTACACTACATAAAAGCATAATAACATCCTAATTCCTCAACCAGAACTGCAATAACTACAGCTTAAAAGCTTCCAAATCCAATTTATAACTTTATATGAGAAATGTAACCTTATTTAAGATTTCTTCAGGTCTAACATTCTGATAATTACATATAAGATCTTTTCAAAAGCAGCTACTACATCAGGTTCCAATCACACCAGCAGGTATTTAAAAATCCTTTTATTACCAGGTAAATATCTAGACTGTCTCAGGTAGTGCTGCTTGGCTGAGGCGGTTCTCGACGGCTCCTGATAGGCTGCGGTCTTGTTCAGGTTCAAAGGTGTGTCTTCTTTTCCACTGGGTCGACTGTAATCCAGAACATTTCCGTACCTGTAAAAGGGAAAAGTCGAGAGCTGCTTGTATCTAAACACGCTTTGTTTTCTACATGTGAGGGAGCTGGTGAGTAAATCACTTGACTGCATCTTCACCTGCTCAGAGCGTCCTCTCCCTGCCTCCGCTTCTCTGAGGAAAAGTTATTTTTCCCCAGAATGCTCAAAGAGGACAGATCTCTGTCTTCATAGTTGTCCCAGTTGTCACTCTTGAGGTGTCCCGTGCCGTGTCCCCATCGCCGCCGCCCTCCTCCCTTTGGCTTCACCTGATAGTTGAGAAGGTTTGCGCTGCCTGTCTCCTGCTAAAAGATAAACACATGTATGAGCTTTTCTAGCTCTTGCTGGGACATGAGTACTTTTGTCCAGGAAATGTTCTTCAGGTGATAGAAGGCCGGCTTTGTAACTGTCTTGATGTGGCTCTGAAGGGTCAGGTCAGAGTCCATCACCACACCCAGATTTCAGGCCTGCTATGGTTAAAATCTGACCCGACAACTCACCTTGCTCTGCAGACTCTTGTCAACGATGTAAGGAAGGTGACTCTGCGGCATGACTTCCGTCTGCTCCGGCTTCGGGATGTGCTTGGGCCCCGTGTGTCGCTGGTAAGACGCCGCCTGGGCAGCTGCGGATGCAGGGGGCGGCGCAACCTGCTGGAGAGGCCTGGAGGGCGTGCAGTGCTGGTTAGAAGGTGGAGGCTGGGTGGGGGGCATGGGCTTCAGCAGTAGGAGAGGCTGCTGCTGCTGCTGTTGCTGCTGCAGAGGAGGCTGCAGCTGCACTCGACCCGGCTGAGGTCTGTCCTGCTCCAGGATCTGCTGAGGGGTGCCAAGAGCTTGGCCCACGTGGAAATACGAGTACCTGAGAGCCTGAAGGGGGTTTCAACCAACAGTTAACTTTTGTTCAGATCGTTTGGCTGCAAGAATGGAAGATGACGGGCGGACGGTACCTGAGCAGAGGCCGGCCTGTTCTTGGGGTCCCACTGAAGCAGGTCCGTCATGAGACGGATGGCGTCTGGACTGGCGTTGGGGACGAGCGTCTTCAGGTTGCTGGGAACGCACTGAGGCCAACGGAAGTTCATGGCGCTCGCCAGCTGGTATCCCTCGGGCCAATCAGTCTGTAGGGAGAAGCCACAGTACATCTGGATATTATAGACTTCCACTGCAGCTGGGTTCATTACAGAAAATAATAACTCTCTGGTCATGGTTCTATGAATACGAGAGGAGTTAAAAAAGTCTTTCTTCCCAACTCCATTATAAAAAACTATGAGGACAAAACAATGTTGATCCAAACTTAGAGGAGCAACAAATGTTTTTAAAAACATTTACTTTAGCAACAGGAAGCTTGTTGCTGATTATAAAACACTATTTGACCTCATCAGAAAAAACTTAGGAAAAAATACTACCGTTATTGGTAATGAATATGAAGTTTTTTCTTTTGTTTCTATTGATTTTTGATCTAAATCAAATGTTTCTGTTCCCTTCACCAATTATTACCTTCTTTGGTGTACCCAGGACTTGGCAGATCTTGAATATGGTGTCCACTTCACTGGATCCTGGGAACAGAGGCCTGAGTGTGTAAAGCTCAGCCATGATGCAGCCCACCGCCCACTGGTCTATGGGTGAATTGTATGATGTGGACCTGAGGAGCACCTCTGGAGCTCGGTACCTGGTTAAAAACGCCATGGCAACTAAAACCCTGAAATCCTACTCATTTGCATTAATTAAACACGCACAGCATTTAATCTCACCATCGAGTCGAGACGTAGTCCGTGTAGGGCGGTCGAGATCTGATCTCACGGGCGAGCCCGAAGTCGGCGATTTTCACCAGCTCTGGGCCCATACACAGGAGATTTTCTGGTTTCATGTCCCTGTGGAAAAACCCTGACAGACACCGAGTGCAAAACTCATCAAGACTAAAACAACAAGTGTGTTAAGTCCTGCTTAACATTAAGCTCTGGTTGTAAAAAAAAAAAAAACATACCATGCTTATGAATGAATGCAAGTCCCTGCAGGATCTGAAACATTATGTTCCTAACGGCCGATTCAGGGAACAAACGTGTCCTGCAGCAATGCGCAAAAGTCAAAAAATTGTTAGGAAACATTAAAATTTACAAAAACACTTTCAATATTTGGACATTTTTAAAGAAAGAAACAAAAATACTGACCGGTCTTTCATCAGCTGATACAAATTCTCCTTCATGTACTCAAAAATGAAGTACAAGTGATCATTTTCCCGGATTACCTCCTTGAGTTTGATGACATTAGCATGGTTTAGTTTCTTTAGGGACTGAAAGAGTAAAACAATACATAATGCAATGTAAAAAAAAATAAAATAAAATATGTACATGAAACTAAATAAATCTCATCATGCTGGACAATGCAAACAGCTTTATTGCAGCACATTGAGAAGCACGACCTGCGGCTTCTGGATAAAATAAGAGCAGATTAAGAGCGCTGTGTGATTTAGGGGGTTATTGCTGCCGAAGGAGGATTTTTGCTTAAAATTCAAAAAAGGAAAATCATACATAAAACAACTTGAAAGCAGGGTGAATGCACTGGGTTCATGTATTGAACATGCTACTTTTTAGGAGGGAGGGGAAAGTGAAAAGGAGTCTAACAGTGGCATGCTACGGCTAGTCTACATAGCATTATTTTCTTGACTTTGCTGTTGGCTTGCTGTGCTACGGGCGGGCCAGCGGTTTTTGTGAATTTAAGAGCTCGCTGGAATCACCTGCTGCTCTGAGAGCTGGGGTGAAGAAATTTGGACTCTGACATTTTGAACTGGCGTGGGAACAAAACAAGAGAAAGGTTTGGGTTACTTGACAGCTGAGTTACTAACAACATCAGAGTATAACACGTAAATCGTCAACATGTGGTGTTCATCTTAAAAGGACAACTGAAATACTGAAAACCCAATCAAAATACAGTGAGAATGTGAGTACGACTCTGTATTCTTTAGATCTGCATTTCTGAGATTTGCAATGTATTTCATTGATCATGTTTATTTTGCAGTTGTGTCTTTTTAGGAATATTTTATTGTTTATGAAAACAAATATCTCAAAGTTCTGCCCACTCAGTTTTACTCTAAGGGGACTGTCCAATTAAGCAAACAGGGACGTTTCACCTCTAATCCAAACGGATTCTGAACATAGTTGGAAGTAACATGCATATGCTTTCAGAAAGAAGTGATGCAAAACTTGAAAAACATATTTAACCTAATTTAACCCAGAGCTGACATAAATATTGTTTTAAGTTAATAATTCCTTAAAATTGATGAAAATTACTAGTTCCGATAGCACAATATTTCCCTTATAATCTGCCATTATAAGTTTTATAAGAAGACAACTTATGTCTTGTTATAAGTTAAATAATCTGCCAGTAGAACCAGTACTTTCTTTAAATTTATGTTGTTAAGGAATATTTTTTGGGATGTCCAAAAAAAAAAAAAAAAATCATTAACATAAAGAAATACCACTTAGCACAAATTAGGTCAATAATTGTTAATTATTCATTTAAATCCCACACATTTTTTTCTGGTTTGTAATTATGTAAAAACATTTTTATATGACAAATGTCTGCTTTGGTATTGAAAAACTGTAAAATATGTCCAATATAAACTTACCTTGACTTCTCTAAGGTTCATGCATTCCTCCCAGGAGTAAAACTTTCGTTTCATCCTGAAAAACAAATGTTTCTGTTTAATTAGTTTGAGCTCAACACCAAAATCATTTGTATTAATTAAGTACAATGATATACCACAACACAAAAGTAGAAAATCTGTAACAAGTAAAAAAAACTTTTTTTTTTTAAATCCCATAATCTCTACATTCTCACTTCTTTATGGCAACAAGTTCCCCTGACTCCAGACTGCGACCCAGGATGACAGAGCCATAGGTGCCATCTCCAAGCTGTCTAAGGGTGGTGTATCTATTCATTGTGCTTGTACTTCCATGTTATCCTTTGGAGGGAGCGTAGTGCAGATACTAATTAGGAGGAAAAGCAGTTGTGTTTGCCTTCTACTGCTGAATGCAACCAGATTTTTCTGTGGCAACAGCAGAAGACGTTCGGCTGAGCTGGAGGACTCATGATGTCAGAAATTTGTTTCCTCTGAGCTGAAAAGCAAAGAAAAAAAGTGAAGCATTCAGCACTATGAGTTTATGTTTTGCAAGAAATGTGACTGAGGAATGTTACAGGTACAAAACACATATTCACCAATCAATCAATCAATCAATCAAATTTTATTTGTATAGCATATTTCAGCAGCAAGGCATTTCAAAGTGCTTTACATAATTAAAATAAAAACAGCATGTGACATTGAATAAACAGTGAGAAAGAGATTTTGAAAAAGATTGAAAAAGATAAAAACATTAAAACCCGCACCCCTATTAGGACTTTAGTTAAGTGTCGTTTAACTGGGACTCTAACCCTCTGGGACTTGCAGTAATCAATGTGCTGATTACTGCACATCAGCAGGATCTAGTTTCTCTAGATCCTGCTGAGACATTAGTCCTCTAATCCTGGAGATGTTCTTCAGGTGATAGAAGGCCGACTTTGTGACTGTCTTAATGTGGCTCTGAAGGTTCAGGTCAGAGTCCATCACTACTCCCAGGTTTCGGGAGTAGTGATGGATTACTCCAACTTAAAAGCAATTCTGTAACTTTTTAAGAAGTTACAGAATTGAAATAACACAATATTTCAAATGGAGTTTCTTGATTGTCTCAGGTGCAGACAGTGCTTTGCAAAAGTATTTTTTCTCTTTGATCTTTTACATTGAAACCACTGATTTTATGTGACAGACCAACATATTGTAGCATAAATGTAAAGAAGAAGGAAGAAATCAAAAATAAATGAAAGGTGCAATTTTTGGCAATTTTGCTTCAATTATTGCAAAAATATTTTAAACTCAGGTGGACTGAGTGGAGAATGTCTGTCAACAACATCTTCCAAGTATTGCCACTGACTGGATTAAGGACTGGACTTTGACTGGGCCATTCTAAAGCATAAATATCGTTTGATCTAAATCACTAAACCCCAAGTTCTCTTCCAGTCCTGCCTTGTACTTAGCTCCATGCATCTTCCAATCAAGATGACAATGTAATGCATTTGTAGCAACTCAGTTGACACTCTGCTGCTTCTGCTAACCTGGGAAGCACCGTTAACTTCAAGCTAACCGAGCTTGCTAACACAACCTATTCCTGACGTTTTAGGTTAAAAATTAAAAGGTTAATCGCGGCAAACATGTTAAATAATCGGTAATAGTGCTGTTTGTGTCGGTGGTGATCGAACAACGGGCCAACCCTGCAGAGAAAACTGAGGAGGAGAGAAGAGGGAGGTCCTCCTAACTGACTCAAAATAACATGTCATGATGAGACCAAGTAATACTCACCCTTCCCGTGTCGAAGCGATAACAACACATAGCCAAGACAATGCAGTTAATGTTTAACTTATCGCTAATGTCAGCAGTTTTTTAACAAGTTGCACTGTTATACGACAACCGCAACCAGCCAGCCGTGCACTCAGCGAGAATTAACTCTCAGCAAGGCCATTTCGTCAGCGCTCGCCATAATCTCGCGTTGTTACAGTAATTTTGTTTCCTGACAACAAATCACAGCCTCTCCGCAGGCTTCAGGCAGGCGGAAAACATCCGAGATTTAGTTGACCCTGAACAACGAAAACATGCCAAATAAATGTCTGAATATTTAATGCTAATAGTTATAAATATACGCGCATTACTAAAATAATCACATTCAACTGCTAATATATGAATACGGAAGGAGAATATTCCTTCCATAGTCAAGGATATGTAAAATTTGTCACTGCAAAGGCGGATGGGAGATGCTGATGTTGCTCTTGATTCATTGGTTTCTTACATGGATCAGAAAAGCAGTTCTCTTGAAAGAAATTAGAACTCATGTGGCACGAAAAACTAGATATGAATATTGATCTAATGTTGCAGTATCAAAGGTCCATACATATCTTGCGAAAGTTGGCTTCATCAACAAAAGATTTTGTTGTGATGAGAAATAGGAAAAGTACTCAAAATCTCTATCACGTGTTTAGTGTAATAACTTTCTTCTGGCCTTTTACATCGGTGGACCCAGAAATTGTGAGGGAAAAGGAGGGGCAAGATGTTTAGACAGAGTAGCAAAGCTGGACCGACTTTAAAAATTATATGTAAATGGGGTGAGAGGAAAAAAAAACACTTTCAAATTGTATAATGTAATTATTTGAAAATAAGAAAGACATTTTGGGGTATAAATGTGGGAGAAAAGTTAATATTTTTGCTGTTATTGATATTATTATTGACATTATTTATAATAATACAAATTCTTCTTATTAGTAGTAGTAGTAGTAATAATAATATTTTATGTAAAACCAATACTAGACTAAGAAACACTGTTTGTTTAAGTTTTGCGGAATAAAAATAATTTCCTCAATTAACCTTCGTCTAATTCATTGAATCAAACAGAATTGAATCTTTTTACGTTTTAATGAACTGACCACCAGTGAATAAACTGGAATCAGTGTGGAGCTTTATGTGGGTTAGCGCTGGTATATGGCGATGTCTTCGCATAGCGTCTCTCACTGGTTCTCTCTGCCCCGCCTCAGCGCACCCTTTACCCGAACGTGTCATCGACGCTCCGGGGCCGCTCTGCAAGATGGCTGCGTTCCTGCGAGCTCGTAAATATGTCTGCTGTGTGGTTCGTTTCTCCGACCGTGAACTGTAAACGGGACCGGTGAGCGCCTGCGAAGATAAAAACAGAGAGACCTACTGGCCAAAGTGTCATGGTGGGTGTCCGTGTTTTATACATTTCATTTGTTTTGGGGGGTTAGCCTGCTCTGTAGCTAACGAAGCTAACAGTAACGACACCTGCTTTCCTCCAGGTTACCCGTTTAGCAATAAGGTCTCTGCACGTACCTACTAGTAAACATCGGGGTTAGTTAACAGATAAAGTACAAAATGCGCACCCAGCGCGGAAAAAGATTACCCTGTTTCGCTTGATCTAATATTAACGTCAGTACACAACATGGCATTTAAATGGAAACTTGCATGAGCTTTTGGTGGGCGTGTTACAGTTGTTTATGTCAGCAGATGTTTAGCTAAAGTTAGTTTTGTGAAAAACTGGCACATAACTCACAGATGTTCTCAATTTCCCATTTTCAAAATAACAGGTTGAGATCATTGACGTTAATGCACTGTTCCTTATAAAGGAAGGCATTTATTGATTTGCTTTTGTTGTCTCAGTATTTCCATTGTGGAGGCCATACTATGACTAAAGGTAGAGCAGTACTTCCTGGAGTAGCTCTCCAGGAGGAAGTATTGGTTAAATGGCTTGGGTAATATAATCAAATTACACTCATGGAAATTAAATGCAAAATCAACTTCAGAAATAAACTGAAAAGTGATATGAATACTGTTTAGCGGTAAGCAAGGCCAGACAACATTTTTGCAGAGAATCTTGGTTAAACGTAGTTGTATGAAAAACTACCATGGTTCCAACAGTGTTGCTTACCTTTGCAGGCAGATGAAAATGCTGATATTGGAGGTACGCTAGAGGATGAAGATGAGAGTTCAGATGATCCAAACCTTCAGGTAATAAAACAATCCAAAGACTCGTATTTATATTCTTATGTGCATTTTGTTTTTCATTTATTTGGTTATTTATCGGAACAGGCGTGTTTAAAACAGATTTTCTCTATTTCGTTATGTTGATGTTGATAAAAACAGCTATACACCCTGCTAATAAGGGGAGGGAAAAAATTTCTTTTATGTTTTGTTTTGTAATTTCCTGGCAGCTGGAACTCAATGTGTTCAGAGCTCAGTGGATGTCTGAACTCAAGCCGAGCCCTGGAACGAGTGACCGACTGCAGGGGGCAAGAGGTGTGAAGAGGACCCAAGACATTGCTCGAGAGGAAAAAGTGAGCTGGTTATTTATTGTTTTTTTGTTTGTTTGTTTGTTAGTATAACTAACAGCTTGGTAAAGTGTTGCACTAGATGACTGAGATTCGCCTTCCTGTCAGGCTACAGAGCTATTTCTGAGAGCTGTGCAGGAGGAGCAGAATGGGGCTGTCTATGAAGGCAAGTAAATAGAAGGTGGTGAACATACTTGTCAGCGAAATGATAAATCGAATACAACAATTATGTTCAGAAGCAATCGCAGTCTTATTTTTAAATGAGTTCTGTAGTATTTGAGCTTGTTTAATTGCCACCTGTTACTGTCTGAGTTTTGTGTGAGAATTTACATAAGATTCAGTATCATCCAAGTATGTTTTTTATTTGCAGCTATCAAGTTCTATCGCTTGGCTATGCAGCTTGACCCTGACATTGAGTTTAAAATCAACTACAGCCGTCCTCCTGACGCAGACAGAGGTGGAGGAAATTAGTAAGTTACAATTAACATCACAGCAGTCATAAATTAAGCAATGTCAAGTTAAATTGCTTCTCTTCTTTTGATTAAATAATATTTTAATAGTTGGCTAATGGGTAACTTTACCTTTACATTCTGCCACAACCAGTCCTTTGATTGAAGACATGTGGCCCGAACTGAAAATGAGTTTGACACGTCTGTCTTATTGCATCAAATCATAAATTCCAGCATCACCGTCTTGCTCAACACAGGACTCGTGAATTATCACTAAATTGTAATTTTCTCAGCATGGAGGACAGTGACACTGACGGGGAGATTGAGGATTTGCTCACCTACTTTGAGCAGCAGCTCACTCTGGAGAGCTCCTTTCCAAAGATCTGCTCTCCTGAGCTTGAGGCGACTCAGACGCACATTTCAGGTAGAGATGACTTCCTAGACCTTTTGCGTAAACTCATTTGAGGTCCTCATGTCCGCATCTGTATTGAAACCTGCGTTCTCCAATTGCCAGCCTTGCCACGGGAAATCCTGATGTACATATTTCGCTGGGTTGTGTCGAGCGAACTGGACATGCGGGCCCTGGAGCAGCTGTCCCTGGTCTGCCGGGGGTTCTACATCTCTGCCAGGTGAAGTGGCTGGTTTGCAGTCAAGTTGTTTCTGCTCAACAGGTTTCAGAAATATTCATCTTTTGGTTTTTATTTATTTGTTGTGTCTTCCTCAGGGACCCTGAGATTTGGCGTTCGGCTTGTTTAAGAGTTTGGGGACGAAACTGCACCAAAGTAGTGCCCTTCAAGTCCTGGAGGGAAATGTTCCTGCAGAGGCCACGTGTCCGGTTCGACGGTAGCGACACATTGTTTCAGCTTCAATTTTATTTTGTTGAAATGTCGGAATATTTAAGGAATATTTCAGTCTTTTTGTTTTTTAAATCATGCCCTCGAGTGTTTAAAAAATGGCCTTTTTTTCAGAGAAAAAATAAAACAAAAAGACAGAACATTTGATCAGGAAACAAAAAATACTCAGGAATTTTTAAGTTAAGATAGAAGTGTATCTAAAACCAGTCAAGAGGGTGCACAAAATGTGATTAAGAGTTCTTGTGAGAATATTGTTTTAGGAATAAGTGTGCATTTAGTGCATATTATTTATTGTCCCTTCATGCCACTTCTCCTCAGGTGTCTACATCAGCAAGACATCGTACATCCGTCAAGGAGAGGAGTCCTTGGACGGATTCTACAGAGCTTGGCATCACGTTGAGTACTACAGGTACGTTACTGTTTATTCACGTCTCAATTAATAGGATAAACACACAAAGTTTAAACCTTTATCCGTTATGTTTTGACTTTGCCTTTCAAGGTACCTCCGGTTCTTCCCCGATGGCTTCGTCCTGATGGTCACCACCCCCGAGGACCCGTTGTCTGTCGTTCCCCGCTTGCGTACGAGAAACATCAGGTGCGGCTCAGTGCTCTACAAGCTCAGAAACACCATCAGCCGCTGTGACCTCTGCAATTGTCTTTCCTCTTACAGAATGGATTCTGCTCTGCTCGGTCATTTCCGTCTGTCACAAGAGACGGACAACCAAACCAAAGTCTTTGCTGTCGTCTGCAAGAAAAAGGAGGATGTAAAGTTTTTTTGTTTTTTTTTGTGTGTGTGGTTGTTAATTTTTCCAACATTTGTGTGTGAAATGGTGATGATCAGCATATTTGACGTGCATTGTTGACAGAACTCGACAAAATGTAATGTTTATTGCCAGAGTTAACTGCCTTTTGGCTGAAATGTGCTGTACAAATAAGCTCGAACTTGAGCGTCCCAGCTGAGTTTTCAGGTCCTGGATCGGCTTGTAAATCGTTGCCGTTTCTTCGCAGAAACCGACCGAGTTTCAAAGAAATCGGTTCTGCAGGCGGAACCAGGCTCCCGAGGCCGAGCACGCCTTCCACGTGGGGCTGCATCTGACCTCCAGAGGGCGTCAGAGTTTCAGTAAGCTTGTGTGGATCCACCACTCCTGCCACATCACTTACAAGTAAGGCAAATTAGCAGGAAAAAAAAAAAAAAAAAACTCTTCCTGCACTTATAGTTTCTAATTACCCATAATCATGTTTTCAGGCTGACTGGGGAAACTGTCATCACAACGTTTGACCTCGACAGGATGTACACGCCCTTCTTCTTTGCACGAGTGAAGAGCTATACCGCTTTCTCCGAGCAGCCGCTGTAAGGAGCAGACACAGCCGTGCATGATCCCGTGAAAAATCACAGAAGAAGCTGAACTCGCCATCTAAATAAAAAAACGAATCCTCTTCAGTCTGTGCAGTTTGTGCTGTAGCAGGATTATGGTGTCGCCTCTTAACGCCCTCATGTTTTCCCACACGCCAGCATGTTTTGTTTCAGGTTTGCCTGTTAGGATGCTGCTTATTTTCTGATAATCAGAAATTACAGTGATTTGCTTGAAAGCTACACTGATTAGCAACCTTCCCCCCACCTGTTTCAAGCATTGAATGTGATTTTTTTCGTTTCATCGTGCACTTTCTTCCTCAAATAAATGAGATGAAAATAAAAAAGTCTTGGTATCGCAATATGTAACAATGCAAATACATTTGTTTCGTGCACGCACAGCTGTGGCGATAAAATGATGACTCGTGAAAAAGTCACGGAGATCCCATTACACAACCCCGATGAACAGACAGTACAGATCTGATTTCTGACTTGCTGCATTTGTCCTACAGCTGAACGCATCAGTATAATCCATGTATTTTCTGAGAACCAAACACAAGCGGAGCCAAAGGGATTTGGAGAGAGAAAAAAAAAAAAAAAAAATGGAAAAAATTTTTTTTTGCCCTTAGCTGCTTCAGAAGCTTTTATTGAACTGATGTAAAAGTTAAAACAAAATGCTTCCACTTAAACAATACAGCAGGGGCGTCTAAAGTGTGGACGTTGGACTGATTTAAAAAAAAAAATGTTTTATTAAATTACAGGAATAACAGTTTTATTCACTTCATCTCACCATATTTGCCTTATGCAGTCGTAGCTGAACTAGAGATCTTGGTATTGCTACATTTGTCCACATCACACCCTAATGTCTGATTTCAGCAAGTCTGTGGAAAAAAAAACACATTTTTTCTCAACTTCTAACATGGAAATGTCTACCGGGATAATTTTCACCACTTTAACTGAGAATGAAAAGTGATAAAAAGGATGATTTTACACACCCTTCAAATTTTCTGTGGTAACTGGAGTAGCAGATTTATTTTTTCCGAGGCTTTTACACACCTTTACCAGAAGCATCGAGAAACGTGGAGGGCAGCGTGCACTTGACCTTCCTCACTGGACGGCTTCAGAAAATCAGGAAGTCTCGATTTGAAATACTGGCTGGGAAGCATGCCACGAAACTTCACAATGAGTTTCTCTGTGCTCCCAACACGTGGTGCAGTGTCGCACTCCAGTGCACCAAGCCCACTCACACCGTGTGAGGCAAGAACGTCAGAGTGAAAAAGTCTTCGAGAAGCAAGTCTTACTTTCTTTCTTTCTTTCTCTGGAATGTATCTTGATTTTTCTTTGTTCACAATTTGTGGTTTGAGTCTGCCAAACCAAATCAGCTACAAATGTTATCAGGCTCACAGTGTTATGACCAAGAATGCCAAAAATGTGTGAAACCTCGGCCCTATCGCGCTCAAAGCTCACTAAGTGGTGGGAGCCGTTAAGAAAAAAATATTGATCTCATTTTTATATTCACCATTCTAACTTTAACTTTTCTCATAGAGAAGGACAAGGAATATTTATTTGATCACTTAAGTTAGAACTTGATACAAAATGATAACTTTTTACAGCTTCCAAGCAAAGTTTCCATTTGAAGTTGCCTGTAAGTTTCAAAGTAAGTCATCAAAGTAAAGCCAACAAACGTTAGCCGACAAATCGCTAAGTAATAATTGTTGCAACACAATTCTTAGCCTGTTCAGACAAGGATCTCACAGTTATGGATACAGATGTTACTTCATTTTTCCAGGGAAAGATTATTCATTTTTATATCTTTAGGGTTATTTTCCACCTGAAAAAAAAAAAAAAAATGCTGGAAGCCGTGATTGATCAGAGTTGTAGTTTGTTTTTAATGTGTTACAGTAAGTAAAGCATCAGTGATAACACATCACCAGACCTCATTTACACCAGACCTCAGAAAAAAAAAATAAAGAAATTTTATATATATATATATATATATATTATACCATTACATTCATTTTTGCTTTATGAGTTAAACCAGTGCTAACTCTGCTCATAAATACATACAAATACACCAGAAATTTAACAAAAACAACTACAGTTATGGCATGTTTTCACTAGCAGTTACAAGTGGGCCAGGTCTACTGCGCTGTGAAAACGTGGACTTTGTTTGATGCCGATTTTCACATTTCCGATCTACTGAGTGGGGGAAACGGAGGTCTACGTGTTTGGGCAGCGTCCTACTGAGTCATTACCTACATATGCGCTCTGCAAGCTGCAGTCAGTTAACTGGGCCGAACATTTTAGCTGGAAACATCCAGTCTGGCTCTGTCTGAACCCATCAGACCTAAAGTGAGCTTTGGAGGTTTGTAAGCTGATTTGTGACTCAGCCAGGGTGGGTGCTTCACTCTACGCAAAGCTAAGCGTGCCGTCTGCAGCCTTACGCACTGCAATTTGACTGATTCTCTTATTTCTATCAAAATCAACCTGCGCGAATGTTTAAAAAATTTTTTTAAAAAACCTGAACATTTCTGATTTTCAATTGTTGGTGAGATACAAATCAAGATGAGGGATTCTGAAGGAACTAAACACATTTTATGAATTTGATTAGAGAAAATTACAGTATAACTTTCTAAGCTGCGTGACAAAATATATTAGTTGGTCCAGAAGCCAGGATGTTTATAGAGATGCTTTAAGCTTTAACTGTTAACACGTGAGTGGCCTTAAACGTCACATTTTATGTATTTCTGTTATTATCATTGTATTAGGAAAGCAAAAGTATGCCAATCTCTACAGCAATGTCTGATCACCAAATTCGATAGCCAAGGTTTTTTTTGTTTTTTTGGGTTTTTTGCACTTAATACAGTCCATATTTTACAAGTTAAAATATTACTGACAAAATTGGTCCAGATGACAAAGAAACGAGTGAAATAGCCCTTAACCACACAGATCTGGTAGCTAACTGCAGCATTTTGCTCATTAATGATTTCTGGGAAAGTTGGGATGATACGGTAAATGCTTGTTTCACAGTTTGAGTCTAGATAAATATCGAATTCCAAAACTGAAATCTCATATAAAACACTAACATCGCATGGAAAAATACTTTGGCATGTGCGTTGTTTAAGAATGAAATGTTTTGATGTAGTTTTAGAGGGTTGTTTCCTCAAAGCAACCTTCTTGAATTGTCCTAAGAGAAAAAGTTCAGGGCGGTTAACTCCATTAACTTTTTCCATGGCCTCCCTTTGTAAGATGCTGCTGCTGCTGCTGGTCTGCATACTGCCAAGGTTCACTGGATTACTGAGAGGAACCTTCGCTATTTTTAGCCATTCAGTCGTCAAAATGTCTGCTGCAAAACACAACTATTAAAGAGCAAGCAGAGTTGCTCATACCTGTACTACTAATGCCATTCACAGACGGATTTATTTTTCTGATGTTCTGCATTTAGGAATAAATCTAGATTTTTAAGTACTGTAAAAAACTGTAAAACTGTAATGCAATGTTGATACCAAACTATTCAGTCATATTAGAGTTTTCAGCAGTCACTCTTTTTTTTCCAGAACTTTCTGAACATCAGCTTATTCAGGTAAAAAAAAATAAAAAGTAGTGTTGAAAGCTCATGTAACTGCCCAGAAACAACAGAACACAAAACATTTAAGCTTTTTGCATTTCTCATAATGCCCTGCATAATTTCTCAGATGAATAACTGAGCAACACATTGTGAAAGGAGAATTAATTTTCTGACAAAACTCCTTTAAAGTTGGATCGTTTTTTGTTTTTTTTTTAATCCTGCTTTTGAAAACGTAGTAGCTCTCCTTTCACGCTGTGACCACAGTTAACCTGAATGCTAATATGAGCAACGCTTTGGTCGTGATGAGACGGTTTCAAACCGACCTGAAGAAAGTACCTGACCGAGACTAAAAGTTTGGATTATGCAACCATGCAAGCAGGAATAAGATAAAGTGAGACACATATGTATCATATTGCAGTTAAACTATAAAAAAAAACAAACATACTAATTGCTGTTTGTCTTAAAGTGTCCCTTAAACTGATATCACGATGTGCTATAAAACATTCTGCCAACATGCTCCGTTGTTAATCTTTGGACCTTTGTTGTGCAAAGCATTGCTGAATTTTTCTGACTGTATGTTTGTCTGCACTGAGTTTTTTCTTAGCAATTCACCGACCAAAAGGCGAGGGAGGCGCAAGTGTAAAGATTCAAGAATACTACAGTACTCGTCACTTAGAGCTATAACGATTCAGTAGTTCAGACCTATTTTGTACTTATGTGAGGGAAATAAAGGAAAAGTCTCTGCATGTGCTGTCTGTGGCTTATTTTATCTGAAGTGAATGCTGGTCTGGTCTATTCTAGATAAAAATATACATATAACTCTAGCAGCATAACCTAACGGGCTACAGTGGGAAACTGGCGGTAGTTTCTCAAATATCAATCCACCCTGAGCTTTCTGGGTGCTGTGCGCTCCATCGACGCCGTTCCGTTGGCGTGTCCGTTTACCGACGCAGAGGAACCGTTCTGGCGCTCCTTCTTTTGAGAATCGATGCGCTTCTTGTATGTCTGGAGTAGAAAGAAAGAAAAAGAAAAGAAAAGTCAGTTAAGGACTATGATATGTACACTTCAGAAAACAAAGTGAAGTAAAAGGTTAAATTGCACTTTAATAATATGGTTTATGATGTAACAGACTGTATATCCATGTTATAACATATGCAATCAGCATAAAGAAGTTTTTTTTCTCTCCTAAGAATATCAAATACAGAACAAAAAGCACTTGAATGAGTTCAGCTTAGGGGAAATTTACAGTATAACTAAGAAAATCTTTATAAAAGCTCCTTATAAAAACAAGAGCGACTAAAATGTGACAATGCAATGTGTTAAAAAATTATGATAGATAAATATTTATTGTAAAAATATTAAAAGATTTTGCTGTCACAATAATAATTAATTGTGAATGCCTTTAAAATGGTTCTCATTCCACCTTTCCAGGAATCGGGATGGATTTCTAGGATCATAATTCACACCTCTGTGATTTCGCTGCATCTTCCATCTACCAGTATAAAAATAGTTTAGTCTGAAATTATTCCAGACAAAAACTCCTGCTTTTTATATTACTCTGAAGCCCGAATTTTGGATTAAAAGATTCTTTCAGAATAATATTTTTCTACAGTTCCTATTTTCTGTTACATTTAGTTCCTGCTTTCAAGACAAAATGGCTAAATTCCCAGTCGAAGTAATAATAATAATAATATGTTTATTTCGCAGCTACAATCGCAATAAAACAGAAGTTTGTACCCATTAAATATATTTAAATCTTGTTAAAATCCTGGACAAACTTCATATATTCCACAAAATGGAGCGAATGTACAAGAATGACCTGTAATAAAGTAGCAGATTTTATTTATGCTGCAGCAGCATTTTTTCCATCACCCTCACACACTCAGTAACACTCTTCAACACAACAGCAAGCTCAGGAGGAGCAAAGAGGAGCTTCCCTCTTATATTAAACACACATAATAAACATGGAGAGGAGGGATAAAAGTTCAGAGTAGTAGGACAATGGAAACATGACCTCAAAGGTTCTCGTTTCTTCTTAAAAATATTAAATATATTCCTGAAAATAGAAATGGGTTGTCAAGTTAATCTGCATGTTAGCTTTCCTATTAAGCCATGCATAGCACACACAACCAAAGTTATGATTTTCTAAGAAAGGAAAAACAGGCAACAAAACATAAAACACTGAATTGTACAAAATGAGGACTAAAACTTAAAAGCAGAAATAAAAAAAAGGAGCTCCCAAGTCATGCCAAGTGATGCAATTTATTAAAGAAACCACAGAACCTCATGGCATCATTCTGCCTGTTATTCTACAGATTCTACACATCCGTGTTCGGGGAGGTTTGTTGCATAATCCACTTCTGGACAGAACGTAAAGCAACCGGAGTGCATCCTCAGCAAGTTTGGTGCATGGAAAAAATGTTTGCGTACGTCTGTCGACTATTACATTTAAGAGGCAAAAGAATCTCACCTGGACGTAGAAATTTGAGAAAAGGACAATGAACGAGAACATGTAGCTTATTTGGAAGTACAGCCATCTCATGGGGAAGCCGCACGGCCAGACCACCGCCAACGCCGTCTGCGTCACGGTCAAACAGAACTGGATCTGCGGAGAGAACAAGAAAAGGTGCAAACACTGAAGAACTTGAAGGACAGCTGAGATGAACACAGACTAATGAGTCTGTATCAGCTTTTAAAATAGAACAATAAAACAACTGCTGTTTGCTATTTTTAAAGGGCTCAGCAGAGACACAATGTGTAGGAACGATAAATTCAAGATGGCGTCTGTCCACCTTGGGAAAAATTCTTCAACAAAACTTCATCAAGGACAGAAATATTCTCACAAACAGATCCAAAGTCGTTAAGCCATCCAAATGACACTTCAGTGAACAAGAAGTTATCATCATATAAACTTTCCATTTCAGAGCACGATTAGAAGAGTAACATTATTTCACATAATCACAGCTACAATCTAACTCAATCTGAAGAATGCTCAAACTCCCCAAGTACCTTGCGGACTTAAGGCCACAGCTTTGTCAGGCTGCAGGAGGCTGAAAATGTCTCACAGCTTAAGGCTTCAGTCTTAAATGATATGTTGGACACAAAAACAGCCCATCAGTACAATGAAACTGTGCTTACAATGAAATACAACTGAACTGATAGAGAAATATTCCGGAAAAAATAAGTCGCCGTTTCAGTCTGACACATTTGGTGAACGTTTTCCACTCAGAGTGTCCAAACATTGTCAGATCAAGATGTGGCGAACAGACGGAGCTCAGCAAGTCTGTGTAAGGGTGTACATACTTATTCAACCAGATTTGTTTTTCAAATGAATTGTAACAGAGGACAAGCTTTGACATGATTTATCCTCGTTTCACTTTTTCACATCACAAAAACGTGGGAAGGTGTTTCAGCGGGAACTTTTCTGTGTGTCTCTGCGATGTCGACTTACTGCTTCATTCAAGAAAAGCAACCGATTGCTCCGACCGAACCTACCAGCTGCAGCTGGGTGATGTACCTCTTCCACCAGAGGTAGGGTCGGAGGGCGGGAATGGCTGCGAGGCCGTAGTAGGAATACATCACAACGTGGACAAAGCTGTTCAAGGAGGCCCCGAAATATGCTGAGGAGAGACATAAAGTTATTTATCTGCGTCAAACACTCAAAAAAAAAAAGACACATGAATAATTCCTAAAGCTTTCTCGGGATGAAAAGCTCACAAACAAAAAGCTTTTCGCACAAAGCTGCAGTTTTCAGGTTAGTGTACCCTTTGAACTTTTCAGGGAGAACTAAGTGTTTTGAGACGTGACTTTAACGTGGAAGCTCTTGAATTATTTAGCTCTATTCAGACGCCAAATGGTAAAAAAAAAAAAAGGTTCTGGAGGCATCGGAGTGTGAATCTGAGTAAAACACTCACAGTGACCGCAGGGTATCCAGTTCATGACGAACCACCAGATGTTCAGCATGCTGGCGTGGTGGTAGACATGGAGAAACGTGATTTGGTGATTGTTTTTCCGCAGTATGAAGAAAAAGGTGTCAATGAACTCGATCAGCTTGGAGAAGTAGTACCACCAAAGGACACTTATGATCTGGAAGAGGGTCACGGCACAACGCAACGTCACAAATACAAACAAAAAACAAACAACAGCGTTCCTGTAGGTGGATTCTAGTTCAGAACAACATAAAGTTAATGTAGGCTGATTTTATGAATCGCCAATCGAAATAAATAAACTCAAGCGGTCATAAAAATATTTTCGTTTTCAATCAGTATTTGTCTTTACGCCACTGTTTGCTTAGAGCGAGTCGAAACAAATCATTAATGCAAAGTAAACAGCATGCAGTGATAAACAACGGTAAGTTTGCGTAATTGTTAAGACCTTTTTATCCGCTTCTGGCGCGCTGTCGGTGTTCTGGCAGTAGAAGTTGTATCCACCGTACCATGCAGTCGTAGCAAGCTGCAGAGGAAGCCATTAAGATAAACGGTGAGCGAGCTGGTTGTAAAATCAGCAACAATGAAGTCAACAAGAAGACGACGAGGAGCCTGAAAGAACTGCTCAAGCGTCAAAGGCTTGGTGTTGGGACTTATTTCCTTTTCGTAGAAACGACACAAACACATCAATACGGAGCAACTTAGAAAAGCAGATAAAGTTTCTCATCTCTTGCTTAAGTTTCGGATTGACTCGGCATGAGAAGGTGACTCTGGTTTGAGCTGCTCATCAACTGTAGATGATGAAACCGCAGAACCTTCAAAAGAAGACTGATAATCCAGCTGAGAGACACAATTTATTTATAAATTGTTTCTGTCGAGAAACAATTCATAAAATTGTTTCTCTACAGTTGCTGATCAGCAACTGTCTGGAAAGAAATACCAATGACTTATGATAAACAAATGTTTCTTTTAGCTGTTTTGTTTTGGATATGTTACAATGTAACGCACAATGCAAACATTTGCACAAATATTTAAATATGTTTGGTTTCTTGCAATCATGTTAGGAAATTTTTGTTTTTAACAAACAAAACAGCTATTGCCGTAATTAGTGGCATCCCAAACAACTGATGTAGAGCAATTTTAAGTGAAACGTTTTTAATGCTTTCTGTACTTTTTACTGTCATCAGAGGTCATAGGATGGTTTAATTGTATTTTTTAGGTTATAAATGGGACAGTTACTCAGAATGAGTAACCAGAGTGACAAGAGGGTATCCCTGCCTCTATTCTATCTATTGCTGTGCACTGCTGGTCAGCTGCGTGAAAAAGGTGCTGCTGATCTTTACCATGGCTACAGCAAAGACAAATCTGACCGTGTGGAAATTGGTTCGGCACACAACAAAGCATGGAAACAAGTGTTGGGTGAATTTCTTCATCCTTTCTAGGCCACAATTTTATCTAAATGAAAAGGGCGGTTTATTTCCCCTTAAATTGTGCCACGTTTGGAGGGAAAATGCATATCTGGGTTCGCCAGCACTAAAAACCTTTTGTGACACTGGAGAAAATAATGCATCTATTTTAAGGGTTTTGCACACAAAGAGTACCAATAACTGTAGCGAGAGCTGAATGTGATCAGAACATGGAAGCAAAAATAAATCAGTTCACCGTCTGTGGATCAAAAGGCAACAAAAGTGCTATTGCTTAACAGAATGAATGAAGATTGATTCTGTTTTGAGTTTTAATTGTTTTGTTACGTGGTCACAGACATTAACCTCTCTGTAACAATGAACATCCTGCATATTAAACAAAATACATTACAGCCTGAATATCGACTGAGCGCTGGCAGGCTGACAGGAAGCAGAAAGCCGCTCTGCACTTTGATTCACATCAGGTGACATCAGATTTGGCCCACTAAAAGTTCACCCTGGGACTGGGCCATTTGCATAGTCCAGAGTTTAATGTGAATAAACCGGCCAACTGTTCACTGGGACCTTACGCAACGCAGACGGCGAGACTGGAAGCCGGATGTGAACGACGGGGCAGATACTCAAGTCCGCCGCACACAAACGCTACATCTGGGTCACAGAGCACAAATCGACAAGTATACATTCTTGCTGCTGTCGCAGCTCAGACTATGCCAACTTGCCAAATACGCACAAGTATGCTTTGCATCACTGTATCTATCAATTTCAGCAGCTTAGTCAGCTGCTTTAAAAACATAGGGTTGTGCTGACGTCAATCAGGACATGTGAGAGTTTTGATTTCTAAAACAGCCAGCCTATCAGCATCCTGTTGTGTCCTTGTTTCTTCCTGATAACATTGTCCTCAGACACAGCTTTCAGTGAGACACAATAAAGACAAAGAGCAGCTGTGAAGAAATGGTTGAAATATTTTTTTTCCCTAAAATAGATGTGAAGATTCATTACGGTTAGAAGACGTTTATGGCCCAACACCTGCTGATTCCCGTAGTTTTTAAGGCTTCGTTGCTAAGATAAACTAATAGCCTCCTGACTTCAGGATCATTTTGTTTAAAGGGCTGAGAAAGATCTTATTTTGGGTAAAATAAGAGCCGAGAATCGCTTTCAGATCATCAAGCAAACGTAAACGCCAGGAAAAGATTTTGTGATTAACGCCCTTTCAAATGATTTCATTTATTTAAAGAGCTTTCCAAACCATAAAACTAATAAGTGGTTGTGTTGTCGTTTTGGCTATTTAAGCCGCTATGACGTGGACCCAAGGTCCCAAACCGATGGCTTTCACCTTTGGACTCCTAAAAGGATGCTCTCTTTGCCCAGCTTCTGTGCTATTGTCATGAAAACTGACCTTCACCGAGTCAAGTGAGATAAAGTGCTTTAGATGCTGCTCTTGGGTTTTACTGTGAACTTTTTGTGAGCTCCTGGAGGAACTCCTGTTAAATGTTTCCATTTGTTGATAACGGTTCATTTGTTGGTGGAGTCCCAAAGTCTTGATGATAACATTATAATCTATTCCAGACTGATATGAATTTACTTCAACAAGTGAATGGATAAAAAAAACAAAAAACAAAAAAGCAAAACTCAGTAATCCAAATGAAATTGTTAATCATAGGTTATTCACGATTTACCAAGCTGGGCAGTTGTGTTTTCAACATTTTTTATTTTTTATTTATTAATTTTTTTGCCTTTTCATATTAACTCAAGTTATATTTGTCTGATATATTATTTTGATCATCTGAAACATTAAAGAATGACAGAAAATCAAAAACACAAGAAATCTTTAAGAACTCAGCAATGACATACCACTTCAAATGACCAGTTCCTCTGATTTTTAATTTCCATAGGTATACGTTTGAGCAAAATGAACATTGTTCCTTTATCTTAAACTGACAACATGTCTCTGAAATTCCAGAACACCTGGTCCTCATCTATGCTTCTCTATGCCACTTTGTTGTGACTTTGCACTGTTTTGACTCATTTCGTCACGTCTCTGCGCTCTGCTTACCTCATAGCACATGTAGAAGGACAAACAGGTGACTCCCAGATTGTAGAGCACCATGAGGCCTCGGCAGGAATATGGCTGCCTGTGCTTCATGTACTTGGGCCCCAGCCACACGATCAGAAGGTACATGACTGTGAGTGCAAAGGTTGGCAGGTAATTGTCGAGCAGGAGCATTCCCTGCACCCGCTTATCTGAAATACGGAGATAAAGAATTAGAGAAGAAAGGTTAGTGGGTGAAAAAGCAGAGAGGAATCCTTTCACTGGCGTTTGAATGAACATTGAGGCTTTTCCAACATCCTCTTACCTCTGGGACCCATCCATGTTTCAAAGTAGGCATTTAGTTTGTGATTTAAGGTCTCCATTTTTTTTTTTACCTGTAAACAAAATGTGGAGATAAAAATTAACTGGCAACATAGTACGTGATATTTAATGTCTAGCAAAGCTAAAGAATGATTGCTTAAATCTTCGCACCCAAGTTGAAAAAAATAGTAGCATGCAAAGTAAAAACTAAAGTCATACAATGTTATCTTGTTACAGGGAAGGAGTTATGGCCCAACCAACCAGTCCGACAGTGTTTGCCAAAAAAAAAAAAGAAATTTAAAAAATAGCAACCAAACAAGCTGGTAGAGACACACATCAAAGAACTGAGGCTGCAATTGCAGCTATAAGTGATTATCAATGACCCATGTGGTGCACACCACACTTTTCTGATTTGTATTTGTGAAAAATATTGAAGACTGTGTTCAATTTCCCTTCTGTATTACAATTATCCACAACTTTGTGTTAGTTTATCTCATAGAATCCCATGAAGACACACTAAATGTCACACTAAGCATGGGTCTGTGCATCCCTTCTCTGAAAACCTAAATGATCAAGAAAGCTAAACAGAGAGTAGAGCTGGACTTTTTTCTGTAGTGAGTGAAGTACAACTTTCACCCAAGAAGACCCATGAATGCATGTACAAAGAAGAAAATCAGACCCCACATGTTACTAATTCGAAGGAATTTAGGAATGAAAACCGTCACATGGTTGTCGACTCTGTGATTTGCTTAAACTGTAATCCTGCAGAGGTCATCAAAGCCGTAAGCTGAAGCGTCAAACATACATTTGGCCTTTGGTGCTATTGATCTTTGAAGCTCACCAAATAAATCTCCATGCTGTGTGGTTTACTCAGAACCAGGAAGTATTTTTGTTCCTGAACAGTAGAATTGGCAGCACAGCGTGAACTCTAGAGTCTCAGGTCAGACTGATTGCATTAACCTCACAAAAATCAATACAAAAACACAGATAAATGGAGTCATTGCTGAACATCCTCCAGTTTTCTTCCCACTGTTCAGGGAATATTAAAACGAGAGCAAGAAATCTTCTATCCTTATTGTAAAGTTTCAACAATAATGTTTTGCTGCTGCTTTAGAAAAAAGCTGAATAAATCCAAGAAACCTGGTCACTCAAGAAAACAGCCTAGAGTCGGTATTTCCCCAGAGCTACTATGACCAGTCGTACCATTTTCAACATCCTGACAGAATTACATAGTCTGCACTCTTTGTGACGTATTTTCTTGAAATGCATTGAAAAAGCATTTCACTGCATCACGGACAGCTGCATCTCTCACTGCATGAGCACCTGCGTCCTTGGCTGGAAGCATATGGGGAGACACAGCATGTTTTCTGTCAAGTTTATTTCCTCTGTCAGACACTGGAATTCACATTATATATATATATATATAAAATTTGAGCGAGAAAGTCGAGCTGTTTATTTATACTGTAAGTGCAAAACGGGGTGAAAGCCTGGTAGAAAACCCTTAATAAAAGGAAGAAATAAAATATAACAGATTTAAAATTCAAGGTGTTTAATAAAACAATGAAATGAAAGTATTACTTGCACACCATCTTCTGGGGTGATGGCTTTCAGCAGTTTCCAACCCACAAGATTGCCATGGAAGAGACTCCGACTATGGGTTTGTGAATACAACAAGCATTGCATGCTTAGTTAATCTTTTGTTGCTGCATTTGATAAATTGCTGTTCTGTCTTTACAGTGTTTATCTTTTCAGTGTAATTTGATGATTTCTTAACCCCCCCAAAAAACTGCTGCTAGTATTTCCTGATCTGAATAAAAAAAAGAGTGAAACACTTTCTGGGGTAAATTTCAGGCAATATGATATTTGGTTCCTACCCTGACCAGAGGAGATGATCCCCTGAAACTAATTTTTCAGATCAGAAAAGCAGAAGCCAGTAGAGGCTCTCTTAAGCCTTTTGAAACAACATGATCAATTGGGTAATGAATGAATAATGTGTGTTTGTGGAGACACTTTGTTCATATAGCCTCCTGCTTTATCCCAGTGAACAGACTGGTCAAACTCGGTGCGTTAAACCGCTGTCGAGAGATAATAAAGAATACTGCTGACGGCTGCGTTTCTCCACACCTGGCTTATTTCGGTCAACTCTACCTCAGCGATGCCCTTGCTCTGACTATCAGTTACATGTTGGGCTGCGCCAGAACGCCATAACCAGAGCCAGAACAAAGGATATATCACCAGTCTGGATGCATGGGGAGCATGGAAAGCATGTGGAAAAATCACTTTCACGCTGACCTGTCTGCGACTGTGCAGATATAGTTTTGAAAGAGCAAAAAGTGTGACATGGAGTAAAAATTAGATGCATGTAAATCTATAACGTGGGACATATTTGGTCAAGATTTAACAAGCTTTGGCTACTTCTAGCTCCTTCTCAAACTTAATGTGAAGGTTTTGTTTATGTTTAATATTTTTATTTATTTATTTTTTTTCATTTTTCCTTTCTCTGACAGGTACGAAATAAAGAAAGGAAAAAAAAACTGCCTTCAGAACTCACCTGATTAGCTAATTAGTTAATAGAAGAACACCTCATACAGGTCAGGGACAAAGTGATTTGGATTTAAAGAACAACATCTCAAGCTTTCAGCATCTTGTTGAGTATTATCAACACATGTAAACAGAATGTCCTCCCAAAGCCATTGCTCTCCACCTGAACTGACAAACTGGGTAATGAAAGCATTAATCAGGGGAGCAGCCAAGATGAAATCCATCAAACTCTGGATTAGTTGCAGAGATTAGGTGGGAAACTCTGCTGACGGGACAACTGCTGCAGGAAGAAAGTCTTTGTTTGGACAAATACCTTGAGAAGTCCAATTTAAAGGTAGGAGATATGGGAAAACATGTGGAAGAAGCTTTTTTGGCCTCCGTAAGAATTCAGAAAACTAACAATGAAGCAAAGTGGCAGCATCCTCCTGTGGCGCTGCTGGTCTAAGAAGATGGGAAGATGGATGGAGATAATTATGGAGGTAATGCTGGACAAAACCCAAAAGGCAGGATAACGACCATATACAAACAACCAGAGTGACAATGAAAACTTTAGGAGAGAGCTGAATAAAATCATGGTCGTCATGACAACATAAATAGGTGATCCAAATTATACATGCTAACAGCACGGACTTTCCATACCCTGCATTTCCACGGTGGATGAAAATTTGGGTTTTTCGTCATCACAGCATTATTCAACTACAGCTATAAGATAATGCAGCCAGAGTGTGGGAATGGCCTAATCAAAGTCCACACCTCTAGCCAATTAAGAATCAGCGACTTGTCCCGAGAAATGACGTCACTCTGCCAGCAGACGTACGTTTAACTGCGATATATTAAATGACTGTCCAAAGATTACATAATGTCAGTCGCGAGCCGCAATGTTTCAATATCGACAAGCGCACTTGGAAAATGTCAAAACGTCTCCTGGTAACATCCGAGAGTGGACATCATAAACCTCAAGAAGGCTCCAAACTTTTTCCTTAGAAGGAGCTCTCCCAACTTTCCTCCGCCGGAGAAGTGAGCTCCTCTGCCGGCTTTGAAGCGTTCATCGTTTGGGGGGACACGGTCCCTCAGGTCACCGCTTTGTTGTATGATAGTAATTTCACATCAGGCTCACGCGTGTAACCCAAACTGCACTTTATAATGGAAAATAAACCAGCAGCCTGCGGTGAAACTGAGAGAGCCGAGCCGATGGCGGCTGCTACAGTTACATAACAATCTGATTAATCACCAGCAAACTTCCCTGGGATGAATTACTTGAATAAAAAACAAAAACAAAGAAAACTTTACTTAAATAAATGACCGCTGTCCGCCTTTAAAGTTCAGACGCTTCAGCGAAGCGAAGTGTTATTAAAATGAGAGGGTCGGGGCAAAAAAAATAAAATAAAACAAAACAAAACAAACAAAAAAACAAGACTCACCATACAGGATCGGTGGAGGAGAAGCAGCTGAGTGCAGCAGACTGATGAGTAACCTTGGCTGGCCGTGTTGAGCTCACGGTGGCGCTCTGCTTTGCTCTCTCTCTCTCTCTCTCTCTGTCTCTCTCTGTGTGTGTGTGTGTGTGTGTGTCTGTATCTGTGGAGAGGAGAGGGAGGAACACACAGTCTGGCCCGCTGCCCTGCGCTGGGGTTATAGCCAGGAGGTGACCTGCTGTGTCGCAATGCCACTCACTATCAAGAGGATGACATCAGACCATGGTCAGACTCAGGAGGACTACTGGAGATGGATTCTAGACAAGAGTGAAGCAGGTGGGGGACAGGGAGGGTGTGAGGTGTCAAGAAGAGTCAGAAGACTTCTCAGAAAAAAAAAAAAAAAATATATATATATATATATATCTGCATCCTCTTTAAGCTATTAAGATCAATTTTTACACCCACTACCCTTCAATTATCCAGCCAGGCAGCATCCAGCCTCCAAATGTAAATTTACTAGTCTATAGAACAAAATCCCTCTTTTTAATTAGCGTGTTTTTTTTTATTTTTTTATTTTGAATAAAGCGTTTTGTAATTGCAGTATCTCGCTTCTTTTATTATTATTATTTCTCTGTTCTGTGATAAGAAAATTTTAAGGGCTGTAAAACCATTAAGCGGTAAAGTTAAGCCCTCCCCTCCCACAGAGCCCGCTCTGCTCAGATTGGTCAGCTCCTCTGACCTGATCAATCCACGCCCACCACTCCACACCAGTTCTGCTGAAATTCAAAAAAAAAAAAAAAAAAAAAAAAAAAAAATTCAAAATGTTTCACAGGAGGCAAAGGTGGTGCACAACGTTGCAGTGGAACAGGGGGCAGAAGTCACTTTTCTTATTGTTTTCAAGGAAGTCTGCTTTTTCCCGGTTTGATCAGTTGCATTCTATGTCCCATAAAAACACCCAAAGTATTAATGTTTTGACTAATAACTGATTTTAGTGCAGCTTTAAAATGCTATACTTTTAAAGCATTTTAAAAGTATGCTTTAAAACATTGTTCCTCTGTACAGATAGCTGGAGAAAATGAACGTAATTGCAACAACGTAATTGTGGATGTCTGGAATGTCCACACTCCCTTCTAACTCCTGGGTTTTTGGGACATAAAAACAAATTATACTGATTGAGTGACTCCATAGATTATTTGTTTCAAAACGTTTTATTTGTACCAGCTTTAATGTGAAATATATATCCAGTACTCCATGATGTAAAAGCTGTTGTAACCTGCTTGCGCAACCCTTAAATTGTGCAACGTTTGGTCAAATTTTGACATTTTGTCTACCTGATTTTCCTTGGAAATATTTTTGAATTCCCTGTTAACCTTCAGCTTGCTAGCTGGCATCCAGAGGTTCTGGGTCAAAGTTGATCAGCACTTTATTTCCTCGTTATAACAGGAAATAAGATTAGCTATCATAACTGCGTGGATGATACAAAGCTCTACATTACGATGTCAGGTGACTCTGAACCCATCCAATCACTGAATAAATGCTTAGAACAGATAAAAACCTTCTGAGCCACATTAAGACAGTCACAAAGTCGGCCTTCTATCACCTGAGCATTTCCAGGGTTAGAGGACTAATGTCTGCGCGATTTAGAGAAACTCACCCATGTGTTTATCTTTAGTCGCATTGATTACTGCAACAGCATCTTCAGCTTCTCCAGCTGCAGCTGATCCAGAACGCTGCTGCTCGCGTTCTCACTAAAACCAGGAAGATAGAGCACATAACACCAGTTTTAAAGTCCCTACACTGGCTCCCTGTAGCTCAGAGAATCGACATTAAAATACTGTTGTTAGTTTATAAATCATTGAACAGTTTAGCACCACGATACATTAAAGACCTGCTGTTGCTGTACCAACCTTCCAGACCCCTCAGCTCTTCTGGTTCTGGTTCTGCTCTACATCCCCAGAACCAGAGGAGAAGCAGCATTCAGCTTCTATGCTCCACAAATCTGGAACAAACTTCCAGAAACCTGTAAAACAGCTGAAACACTGACTTCCTTTAAATCTCGACTAAAAACCCACCTGGTTAGAGTTGTATTTGAAACGTAATCAATTACAAATTTAACGATGGCATTTGACTTAATGTAATGTTTTGACTGTTGATTCTATGTTTCATGACTTTGTGTTTTTGTGCTTTTTATGTAAAGCACTTTGAAATGCCTTGCTGCTGATTGATTGATTTGGAGTTTTTCATAATTTTCATCCACCTTTTGCTGCAACTGTTTTTTTCATCTTCGAAGCATGCTCAGAGCTCATCTACCTGGCTGAATTTTCTTATAGTACTTACATAGAAAGTATGCCTGGCTCAGTGCTTCTGTTTTGCATGTGTGTGCTCTCTCAAACTCCAGTCATTCGTGGCAGGTTTCTTCCTGTTGAAGGCAAGTTGTTTCGTCCACTGTCGCAACATGCATGCCCAGAGAAATTGCTGCAAAGTCGATGACACAGTGCAGGCAATCGTTGCTACATGCTCATCTAAGAGGAGTGAATGTTCCTGTAAAGAGCCTTGAGGTACATATGTTGTGATATGGCTTTATATTAGTAAACTAAAAAGAATTTAATTGAAATTGACAAAGACTGTTCCATGTAACCCCAGCGCAGCCACAACTATATTTTCACTGGAGTGGTGATTTTTTTTTTTTTTTGGTGATTTGCTTCACTGCTTTGTGTCAAATCGACCTTTCGGAAGTGTTTCCCAAAGTTAAATCTGGAATTTTTCACGTAATTAATATAATGCATTCTTTCAGAACGCTTAGGGAGATTTCATTCAGGTCTTCATGTTCTATTTGAAATACAAGCCTTTTGTTTGCACTCCTGCTGCGCAGTCTAAGCTTGAGAAAAATACAAGAGATTGTTGTCACAGGTCATCCCTGTCCTGGTAGAAATTCCTGCAGCTCCTCTTGGCAGTTCACCTCCTGTTTCCTCATTCATTTTGGAGTAATGTCCCGCTTTTGTTAAGTCACTCTTGTTCCATATTTTCTCCACTTATTGATGACTGTCTTAATTCTGCAGTGGTGTACATAATGCATAATGCTGTGTTCTTAACCTTCTCCTGACCTTCTCATGTTGTTCGTTTGTAACCTCTCTGCATCATATTAAGGATATACTCATTTATTCAGCCAGGTTAATGCAGGTTGTTGTTGTCTGGTCATCAGTTGTCTGATGAAGATGATATTACCTTTGAAAAAAGTGTCAAACCTGCCATTTTAACAGATGTGTGTAGATTTGTAAAAGCCACTTTAACTGCAGCCTGTTTGCTTCCAGACTGAAAGACAAAATGCAACATCAAAATTCAGAACACATACAAGCAAATGTAATTTTGGGATTGGATTAGATCAATATAACTCTTAGCTTCTAATCTTTTTATACAAATATATTGATGTCCATAGTGAATGGATTTCATTTGGGGGATTTTCACCATCAGATTTTAAACAAATCCATCCAGACACTGGAAATGTTTTTCCTTCATTTCCGATAAAATTTCCTTTCGCCTGCTTTGATAGTTGAGTGATCCTGCACTTTGCAAAAATTACTATCAATCCCCTCACTTAAGCCTGATTAGAGTAGTTTATTTTTCATATTTTATTTTATTAAAATGATCATATTTTATTTGTTGTTTTACACATTTTAGTGTTGAGAATTTTTTTTCTTTTTTTTTTCAATGTTTATGTCACTCAGCAGATCAAATCTGTGTGTCTATGACGCCTGCTTCTTTGATGAACGCTCTCCTTACTCAGCTTGTCAGTGTTGATAGATTGATTTTTATTGACTGGACTAAATAAACATTTACAACAAAATATATAAAACCCAAACCATGGCATGTTGTTCTGTGGATGACAAACTAGATTCACAGGGTATTCACTTCAACTGGTAGCTTTAACGCAAAGTGAGGCTTCATGTGTAATTTATTTATCTGATACAATGCAAAAACTTACATATCAATAGGTTGAAACATATCGTCAAGCTGTTACTATGTTGTCCAAGCCAAATTGAAATCTGAGCACATTGTAGTCTTTAGAGATGTCTTGTTTCAGTGGAAGAAAGTCAGGGGCCCCCCTTTCTGAAAAACCTGGTCAACTGATCTGATTGGTCGCTTTAGTGGCCTGATCAGGAACCACCTCCCACTCAGCATCAGCTCTGCTGAAATATGAAATAATAGCAAGATCTCACTGCACAAGGGAAAAAAAATATCCTCAAGGACCTAAAGTGTAATGATAAACCGTCATAAAACACAGAACTCTCTTTTTGTTCTGATTTAGCTGAAAAAAGTCATTTGCAACATCAGGGTGGGTTGGGGGGAGGGGGGGGTTGTTTTTAAACTTATAAATTACATTTGATTGTATGAGTGCTGCTGCAGTATTGTTCAATCAAACATAATTTATAAGTTTACATGCAAAATGATAGGGTTTTATATTTCATGCATTATTCATTCCAGCTTATTCCCACCTTTGATAAGTGTTTTCAGCACCACTAGCCCACTGCAGGGCAACTTTACATATAAAAAGGCATTCAAATCGTTAGACCTCCCACTGTGGTCAAAAATGTGTGGTTTCTTCTCCCTTCAGGGTGGTGACATATCAAGATTCAGAAATCAAGGAGAAATTATGAATGAAGTAACAAACCTGTTGGCAGGAGGTTCCTCATGCTATGCAGTTCTTTAAACTGCTATTAATCATTCTCTGCATTTTTAGATAGTTATAGCTTTTCATATTAACACCAATTAGATAGAAATTGACAGATAAAAATGTGTTGCAGGCAATCAGTCATAATAGTCTCAGAGTTAAAATGTGGAATTTTAAAACATCAGAATTAATCTGTCTAAACCTACAAATGTTCCCAGAGCTGGTTGTCCACTAGGTAGGTCTGCATCAGCAATAATCATTATCTTATCTAAGAGGTCAAATTGAGGTAATACTCTCATCTGTCACTGCAACGCACTGTTGTGTCAGACTCTGGTTCAACAGCACCACCTTGTGGTTGGACACACACATTTCACGATGTGCCTCAAGTTGTTTTTATGCACCGACATTAATGAACTAGAAAATGGTCAAAAAGTTAATATTGGAAATTTAATTAA